CTAATATGTCATTGGTTGCATGTTAGATGCAAATGCATTTACACGTGACTGGATTGGACTTTCAAGGCTGACAGTATCTGTGCCATTGATTGTCGTTCAGTATATTGTATGCATGTGTCTAGCTAAGTGTTATTGGGATCAACGCTGACAGTTCCTGTGCTATTGATGTCGGTATGTTCGCCACTCTCTTATTTTTCACCTGTCCGTCCTCATCCTCCTACTCTCCTGGTTCCTGCCGTTAGCCTGTCTAATCACCTGTTTGTCCTGGTCCCTTCAGCCATCTCTGTCCAACCCTGCTTCAGTACTATACATTGACTCTGTTACGTGTTGACTTTGTTTGTGTTGCCACCAATAAACCACCTTTTTTTCACTAGCACCTGGGTCTGCAGACTTGAGTCCTACCGCAGTTCTCCCTCACCCTCCTGGTGAGGGGGACTAAACCATAACAAATACACAAAGTCTCACACTGATTCAGTCTAAACATAAGAGAATGAAAAGCTGCCATCTAGTGTAGTAACTAGAGTAATACAAGCTTAAGGAGGAAACCTTGCATCTTAGAGATTTGTAGTGAAATACAGTATGACAATGAGTAAAGCTGATCAAAAAAAAAATAAAAACAATCCCTCAAACCGTAAAACGTATTTGATACTTTTGTTACTTTTATGTTCATATTGGTATTATCAGAGAAACAACCATTTCACACTATAAAGCTGTATTAACTATCAGTTGTACCTCTTGAGAGCAGATGATCCTGACATATTGCAGTCCTAAAATCTTTACCATTTATTGTAATGACTAACACAGCAACAAAGTGCAGCCTATAAACATCCAGCAGACTCAGAGCAACAGTAGTGATTTATTCAAATGTGATCACACACTATATACTATGTGAAATTCTATTCAAAAGGCGAACAATAAACACTTTATATAACCACAAATATAATATACAATAGTATGACACCTCCAGAAATGCAGGTTCTGTCCAACATTTTATACTGGGGGTGTTAAAAACACTAGCTTCATGTAGAGGCAAGCTTTTAGTTGTAAAAGATGCACACACACATTATAAATAAATATATATATATATAATGTGTTTTTGTCACTTGGCATTCCTCTGACTGAAGAAAAGATGGCTACATCCCTTGCATTTCTGGGCGTTCAGCTCAAGTCAGTTCACTTCTGAGCTTCACTACTGCTGGCTAAGTTGGACTAGCACTACAGCACAGTAAGGTGTTGTCCAGGGAAATAAGAAAGGGAAATTTGTCCTAAATAGACTAACTTTTAAATATACTGACTCAACTTAGCTTAGTGGGACATCTGAAACTGCATTTGAGCTGCAAATGAACTTTGGAGTGCATGTTTTTACAGAGTAAGAGTTGTAGGTGTAGTAAGAGTAGTTTGTCCCTCATATTTTGCAGCACAGTGACGTTCTGGGTGGAAACATTCAGGAGAGCAGGAGAAGTGACAATGACTAAAACCTATTCTCACACACATAGGGACATGTTTAATACCAAGTTGAAAAATCCTGAACTTCTTGTATTCATTTAATTGGTGCTGGGGGTCTGCCAGTGCACACGCATGATGCAGACCTCCATAGCCTTCCCCAAAGCCATAACGTGCATAAGCATACTCCAAGTACATAAGCATTTCATACCTTCATACAGCCACATTCAACATTCTCAGCTAGTGAAATGCAGTCCCTTAACAATGTTAATGTCACTTTTGTTTGTTTGTTTGTTTTTTTTATTACATGCAATTATGGATATATTTCACTACTTTTGAGGAAGTATATGTGCAGTGTGTTTCTCAGTGAATGGTGTGGTGGGGTGGGTGATGTAAGTTTCCCCAGTGTCATCCGTCAATAAGGTTTAACACATCAAAAATGTGTATTCTTTGGACCAAATATCACACACAGTAATGGCTTCTGTTGTGTGCAGTTTCCACCGGTGCTGTTTTTCTTCTCCTTTATAAAGTGCAAATACCCATAAAAGCTTCTTAATAACTAAGAACACATGCAGTTTCACTGTTTAGTGCCAAATGATGAACTCTCAACCTTAGTAAATATTCCCCATTGGCTTATTTTGTATCCAAATGACTTGCAATTCTCAATGCAACCAGCAGATGTGGCTGTTGAGTCATACTTAGTTTCTACCCACAGAGTCAGAAGCAGAGGCATTTTAGCTGAGTTATGATTATCCAGCCACAACAACCGCAGAGCCACAGAAACACCATCAGACAACCAGCAAGTCTGTGAACACTAGATTACTCCCACACATGCACTGTATTTCCATCTAACTCACTACACACTCTATGTATACAATGTCCAGGGACAGGAAATATGATTATGACAATTTGACAATATATTCATCCGTCCATTACCTTCACTGCCTATTCTAAAGAGGGTCACAGCCAATCCCAACTGACATTGGGCCAGGGTAGTGTAAGATTTGATTCTTATAGGCTCTAGTTACTTTATAAGCTTGAGTTACTTTTCATAACTTTAGTTTCCTTTCGTTACTTTTCAGTTCTTCATTTTCTTTTAGTTACTTTTCATACCTTTATTATCCTTGCTTATACATATGTTATACCCCAGTTCTTTTACTGGACAGATCTGAGTAAAGAAGGAGTCCGTCTTTCTTGATTTTATTGCTGGTTTATTTACAAACAATATATATATAAATATATATGTATATAAAAGGATTACAGAACACAACCCAGGGCTCCCTCCTTCAGACAAGCTGCTGGAGAAGACAGCAGGAAAAAAAAGCACACGGAAACACAGAGCCTAATGCATTTATCAGTTTTGGGCTAGCCCCTTACCCAGAT